AGAGAGAGAGAGAGAGAGAGAGAGAGAGAGAGAGAGAGAGAGAGAACTCATGCACAGAAGCCTCTATTTCTTTTTAAACTCTTCAATCAAGGTCCCCATCCCTTGCGCGCGCACACACGTGCGTGCACAAGTTTTGTAACTCCCAGTGTTTTCTTTTCTCTGGGAAACGGGTCCAAGTGGCTCTTTGAGTGTTTAAGGTTGCAGACCCCTGACTTAGTTGAAAGGATCATCTGAGGTTTATCATTTTTATAGGAGACACTTTGCTCACTCCCATTCATTGTTTATGTCATAATTCTATGTGTATTGGAAAGAATGAGTCTATAGTAAGAAAGATTCCTATATTGGGACCAAGAACTGGGCTTAGTTTTCTGGCCCATTCCAACTCTGCAAGAACAGGTGAATTCACCAGCTACAAAATATTAGAATGAGAGGTTGCAATGGAGACTGAGTAATACTTCAAGGAATCAAAGGATGCCTTCCTAAATGGTTAGGCAGGCTCAGATTAAAATGGCAAGGAATAGGTAGACTTGCTATGATCAATAGTACTGAATCTGATACTTGTGCTTAGGGTTTATTTTTAAACTGTACGTGAATAGCATCTGAAATATTGAATAACATAGTATTCTGGGTTGTTTTGGTTATGTCTATGTCCTCTTCTTTGTTGTTGGCTATCTTGTTGGTTCTGATTTTGGCTTTAAACCTATGTTTAGCTGCCCAAAGTTCTGATGTGTGAGTTGGGCAGATCTAAAAATCAAATCAATAAATAAATGTAGATATGCTCCTATGGACCCATACATAAATTGCACTTGCTATTTAGAACAATCTTGCCCACGCTGGACCACAACTCCCAGGTAAGCAATTCTCAGAATTCTCACCCCTGGCCCTACTGGTTGGGAAGATGTATGCAGAGGAGCAGGGAATATATCCCAGATTCTCAGTCATCCAGGTCATGGTTGCCCCAAAGATGCTTTTTCAAAAGGCAAAGGACTTTATTTTTCCTTGAAGACATTTCGCTTCTCATTCAAGAAGCTTCTTCAGTGCTCCAGAACTAAAGAAGCTTCTTGCATGAAAACTGAAACATCTTCAAAGAAAAACAAAGTCCTGTTGCCTTTTGAAAAAGCACCTTTTTGACAACCATGACCTGGATGACTGAGAATCTCCATAGAAATCACAACTATATTCTATCTTTCCTCTCAGAATTTACAGAAGCATAAAGGATGGTGGAAAGTCTCTCCTAGTTTTATCCCCAGAACTGCAGCTCAGTAACATAGATTAACCTGAGACTAATTTCCCTGGGAAATTAGCTTTCTGTCTAAGGTGATTAGGTATTTTGCAATTCAAAGAATATCTGCTGATCATACAGCAGATCTAGCAGAAGCGCACAACTACACCAAACAGAAGAACTGTTAGTTCAGAATAAATTTTAAAATATATTTATAAATCATGTTTTTGTTATTAACATCTCTAACATAAAGATTCATAAACACAAGTGCCAAACATATTTGTTCAATCATTGATTTTCCAAAACTCTGTTCAGATCTAAAACTACAAATCTATCTTCCCTAAAAAGGACACCAGCAATGTCAAACTATGAAATTTCAAATTTCCTAGCTAATAGGGGTCACAGTCATAAAGGAAACTCTTGTTGAATAGAACCTACACTCAGCTTGGCACAAATACAGTTTAATTTTCAAATTTCAAAATGTTTAATAATCTGCATTTCACAAATTTGCGGGAGAAGGGGTTTGGCATTTAGGAGTATCATCTGGGTCATGAGTTACACTGAAGTTAAGTGTAGATTAAACGTGTTTGGGCACACTTAGGAGAAAAAACGTAGGGCAGATAGGAAGGGACAGCAGTAAACTCAGCAGAGAACAGAATTAGAAAGGTAAAGGTGAAGGTGAGAGTTCCTCCAAATGAGCAATGCAATGAAAAACTATGGAACAAGAGAAGCAATTTTATACCAGACACAGCAGAAAGTGCCAAGAAACTGAAAGCAAGATGAACTGATTTTCTGGTACTTTTTTTCATAATTCTTTTTTACTAGGATTTGTAGGAGACATTTACTCAAACACTATTTTAATAACAAAATAACCCTGGATCAAGAGAAGAGCGCTTCCTTTAATTTGGACATAATTCCATTGTACTGAATTGCAAATATTAGCATGCATTCATGTGTGTACATATAACTGCAGGCACACCCTGCTCACCGTACCCCAAGTTGCAGATCCCTACTCCTTAAGACAGCAGCGTTTTTCTCTTCACATAGTTGTGCAAAGCGCATGGCCAGCAAATAATTTTCATCCTTCAGCCTTAGCAACTCCAGGCTCTTGGTATCCCACTCTTCTTGGAACCTCTGCCAACCTTCTTGCACTTTCTGTAATCCCTGGAGCTGTTGCTTCAACTGGCTACATTCTTTTTCTAAGCCTTGGTTTTTTATCTGGAGCTGGTGTTCTTTGGCCAGGTGTTCCTTTCGTTGGGCCCTCACCTTCTTCACCTCCATCATCAGGAACTGAGTCAGGCCTTCAGGACCCTCCTCATCTGGAAAAGGGACAGTGGATTAGTGCCACGAGTAGACAAAATGCTAGGAGCCATCAGTCAGAACACCTCATGTATAATTCAATAATCCAACTTGCTTCAAACTTCTACTTAATTTGCAAGCCCTTAATATGTGAAATAGCCTGTTTATAAACATGCACGTATGCTTAAAATTTGGGTCAATCATCACTGCAAGCACATAGCAACACACTTAGCTGCATAAGGTGCAAAAGTAGCACTTGTTCATGGTAAAACTGTTCTATAGAAAATCTAACCCTCTGACACTTGTGGCAAACAAAATTCCTTTGCTCAAATCTATATGAATGTACATACATTTCAACTTGTATTTCCTGAGAATTGCACCAGATTCTCTGTGAGGCCTGTTTATTGTTGCATACTTCTAACATGGAGAAGTTTCTCTAATGCATACCTATTATACACATATTTTGCATTCAGAAAACACAAACTGTATAATCACATGGTAATTTATTAAAATGCAAGCAGGTTGGATTATTTTAAGAGTAGGTGAGCTCAAACTATATGTTTTGCTTTTATTTTGGGAAGAGAGCTGTTCAAATAAAAATAACATTTGTTCACAGATAACGGTGTTATAACAATATAGGACTCTATTCACATATAGCAACAAAAGATATATCAGTGGAAGCTGCAGAAAAAAGGCAAAACAGTTAACCAATATACAGAAACATAATCCTGATATCATGAAGCATTCTCTATTACTACCCTGAATAGATGATATTCCTGGTAGGACAATTCTAAAAAATATCCATGTGGCTATTTCTATTTCAGCAATCTCAAAATCAGATTGCTTTGGTGGCCATTATAAAGCCAGTCCTGGAGTATAAATGACAGCCACTTTCTGTTAGGAAAGCATTCAAAACAAAATCAAAACAGGACAAATATAGACATTTCGGTACAATACAGGCCAAGCAATTTCACATACAATTCTCAATACCAGCAGAAAGTTGAATAAGGCATCTATTTATGCATATATACAAACTGCGTTATCAAGAGCTTTGAAGGCCCTCCTTCTTCCAAAGTAGAATCAAGCTTCTCTAAATTATTATTATTATTATTAATTATTATTAAATAATAATAATAATAATAATAAATAACTTAAATATATGGCGGGATAGAGGGAATGCCCTGAGTCCCGCCACTTGTCCGCTATTATTTTTGGTGCTATTTATATGCGTTCAAAGACAAGATTTTAGTTTAATTTATTGTCCGGACGAGATTTTTATGGGGTATGTTTTGGGGGTGATTTTGTATTAGTTACTACGCCAGGCCGGCCGCACGGAATAGATGAGCTGCATATTGTGTTTCTTACAATCTCTTACCCAAGATCATAGAGCAACGCTGAACAGGTTGCTTTCCCGTCAGTCGGGTGAAATGTTCAGGGTAATAGAACTCCAAGGACTCCAAGAATGCCTCGTAGCCTCGCTTCCCCCGCCTTCGAAGGATATCCATCAGGAGTCCTGCAGAGGGTTTAAAAAAAAATGCACACGGATAGGGTACAAATGATGGCTTTATGTGATTAGCAACCAGAATCCTAGGTTTCGTATTTGCATATCACATGAAACCATCATGTGCCAAATTCTGGCTCATTAAATAAATTATGATTTTTTGAATAAATAACGATTAGCTAGGTTTACAATCACACTAAGCCATAATATAGGATTTAATATGGTAGCCTATTCCCATTCTAGAATTATAAAGCCAGAAACTGTAAACTTGGTCTAACCTTTATAAGAACCTTTATAAGAACAGCAATGGCCTTTTCAATTTACAGGATATGAGAGTCAAGTCAAGACAGCAGGATTTAGGGAAATTCTTTAGGTCTTATATAAGGTTAAGCAAAAAAGAAAATACAGTCCTCAAAAGTTATGACCATAATGGAGTCTGCCCATCAATGGTTTATTATGGATGCAATTTTGCTGAAAACTAGCAGTAAATGTGGTGATTCACTTAATGACCGCAGCTAAAAAAATGTTGTAAATTCACTTAATGATCACAATGCTTGGCAACTAATTTTCTGGTCACAATGCTTGACAACTAATTGTAAATTTAAGTCAATGATTACATTAACATGCTCTTGCTATGGTCAACTGACTAATCAATAAAGTTATACAATACTATACCATTAGCATGTTCCATCACCATCAACAGCAAAGGGAAATAAAAAAAAATCAATAACAGAAATTAAAAAGAGAGAAGGTGGATTTTGTTTTTCTTTTTGCTGGACTTTGAAAACATCTAAGTTAGATTTCAGTTCCATAAAGCCTTAAGGTAAAAAAAAACTGCTGAGCTATATGGAGATTTGGTCTGCTCTAGCATGGCTTTTTTAAGGTACACAGAGCCACAATGGGATCCCTTCCTTTCATTCAAGAGCCAACTAACTCTCTATATTGTACTTTAAACAAAAAAAAAAGAGACTTTTCACTGATTTCTCCTTCATGCAAATTCCAAACATCTCTCACCTGTTCGGTTGCTCCTGCATGGGAACCGATAGGCACTCAGCACCTCCTCTTCGTCTTGCTCATCTATCACACGACACTGACGTAAGTAGGGTGTCAGCTTTTCTGGATTCAAAGAGCGAGTTAGTTGGTGTCGCACACTCTCAATCTTCTCCCACAAAGCTTCCTCTTCTTCTTCTTCTTCAGAAAGACTTTGGACCTGGATGATATCATCTTCAGGTCCTATGAACACATATTAAGTGGTACTGAAATTAAGGACATTAATTTCCTCAAGTGCTTTTAAACAGTTTGGGAGTTGGATTTTTCACATCATTTTAATAGGGCTGTTCTTTATTGGAGACTGAGCACCACAAAGTATATTTATTTTTAGACTCTGGGCAGCTTACAATATTCAATAAACACCTAAAAAGTATAACTATTAACAACCAAAGCATCAAAACTACAGAAAACTGAGCTAAAGTTAAAAAAAAAAGTAAGTGAAGGAATGTTAACAATAGCAGAACCACCTCACTAGCTCACCGATCCCTGGAGCTCCCAGACCTGCTGACACAATCAAATCTTGAGGAAGTCTCAGCTCAGAAAAGATGAGGCCAACCTCATCTCAGGGGAGCAGAAGATTCCACAATGTGAGGGCTGCTGCAGAGAAGGCCCACTGCCTAAGGCCCATTAAATATAACTCTCTGGATCAGGGCTTTTCAACCTTTTCATCCATTGTACCACTTTTAGGATATGGCAACATCCGAGTACCACCAGTCGCCTAGCAAGGGGTCAAAAACTTGATGACCCCCCCCCAAAAAGGGAAGAGTGATAAAGTACAGGTAGTCCTCGACTTACAACAGTTCGCTTAGTGACTGTTGGAAGTTACAATGGCACTGAAAAAAGTGCCCCCCAAGCCACAGCTGAGCAAGACACCTGCCTGCCCGCCCGGCGGCGCTCTTCCTCCTGTCCGAGGTTTTCATAGTTGTGAGCATTTCTGTTGAGGATTGGCAGCGGGGGTGTGATGGGGGAGTGTTTGGTTTTTATTCCCCCCATCTGCTGGGTGGTTGCAGCAGGTTTTGGTCACTTCACATGACCCTGGGACACTGTGACCGTCATAAATATGAATCAGTTACAATCAGCATCTGAATGTAAATCCCAATACCCTGGAGATGCTGCAACATTCCAGCTGATCGGCGCTTCTTCAGGGCTCAGCAGAAGCACCAGGATCAGTGTCGAGCTCCAGCTGGAGCCTGGCGCTGATCCTGGCACTTCCGCTGAGCCCTGACGGCCCTGCAGCTCCAGCCGTCTCTCGCTCAGGCTTGTGTGGTGCTGCCAACGGTTCAGCTCATTCCCCTCCCCCATTACTTCTCTAGGATGGTCGCGTACCACCTGCCAGATGTCAATGTACCACAGGTGGTACCCGTACCACTGGTTGAAAAGCCCTGCTCTAGGATCAGTGCTTTTCAACTCATGGTACACGTACCACTGGTGGTATTTCAGCACCTGGCATGGTACACGTACCACTGGTGGTATTTCAGCATATGTGGTATACATATGACAGGTTGAAAAGCACAGTAAAAAAAAGAGTGTAAAAAAAGTGTAAAAGTATAGGGGGGGATGAGCTGAAGTGGCGGCAATGCCGCAGAGGCCTGTGGGAGAGTCAGCTGGAATTGTGGTGTTGCCGGGGCTCTGCTGAGCACCCAGGATCTGCATGGGGCTTCAGCTGATTGGCACTTCTGGAAGCAGCTCGCAGCCTTGGGGAAAGGAGTCAGCTACAGCTACACCAAAGAGAAAAGAAAGAGGGGGGGGGAAGAGAGGAGATGATATAAAAGAAGGTTTTGGAGGGAAAGGGAGAGAAAAAAAACACAACGTGGAAAGAGAAGGGGACAGAGTAAGAGAGACACAGAAACGGGCAGCCTTGGGGAAAGGAGTCAGCTGCAGCTACACCAAAGAGAAAAAGAGGAGGGGGGAGAGAGGAGAGGATATAAAAGGTTTTGGAGGGGAAAAGAGAGGAAAAAACCGACATGGAAAGAGAAGGGGACGGAGAAAGAGAGACAGAGAAGAGGAGAGGCTTCTTTGAGTCAACCAGAAGGAGAGAAGGGACTAGAAGAGTGCAAAAATTAATGTCAGAGAAACAAACACAAGTTCCCCATTAAAAGTGTGTTAAGTGGGTGTACAGATAGTCCTCAACCTATAACCACAATTAAGCCCAAAATTTATGTTGCTAAATGAGAAATTTGTTACATGAGTTTTGTCCCTTTTTATGTCTTTTCTTGCCACATTTGTTAAGTGAATCATTGCAGTTGTTAAATTAGTAACACAATTCTTAAGTGAATCTGGTTTCTCCATTGACTTTGCTTGTCAGAAGGCTGCAAAGGGGGATCACGTGACCTTGGGACACTGTGACCATCATAAATATGAATCAGTTGCCAAGCATCGGAATGTAAATCACCTGATCCTGGGGGTGCTGCAATAGTCATAAGTGTGAAAAATGGTCATAAGTCACTTTTTTCAGTGATGTTATAACTTCGAGCAGTCACTAAGCGAAATATTCTAAGTTGAGGACTACCTGTATTTTATCACTTTTTTCCTCTTTTTTTTTTTTTGTTCATCAAGTTTTTGACACCTTGCTAGGCGACTGGTGATACTCGAATATTGCCATATCCTAAAACTGGTACAATCTGTGAAAAGGTTGAAAAGCCCTGCCCTACACCACGGAACCTGTGACATGCCCTCTCTGCTGGATCTGGTGAGATGGCAGATGAAGTTGGAGCAAGGCAAGCCCTCAAATAATCTGGCCCCATGACAAGAGCTACATTCTGCATGTACATAAAATTAAATTTGAGTGGGGAGTCTTGGGGGATTTCTTTGTTTTTTAAAACTATAAACATTCTTACTTTAAGGCACACAAAATAGTAATGACCATGCACGAGCTCAAGAAAAGATGTAGCTGCTTTAACATGTTCCAAGGATATGCTGTCTACCTACAAAATCTCTAAATCACAATTTACCTTTCAAATGCAAGTCTCTGCACAGCATAATAATAATACATAATACATAATAATTTTCCTATGCTTTCCATCTCAAAATGACAAGAACTGCTAAAGTCAGAATTAGCTCCAAGGGTTGTAAAAAAAGAAGTCTGGGACCACATTAGCATGGTCTGCAAGTTATCAACTCCTGAGAAACAATTACCTGCAAATAAACACTATCAACAAGGATGACAGAGACATAAAAACAATTCCACATTTTAATGCACTTCAGATGGCTGTACAAGCTGGAGATTAGGCCAGTTTAATTGAAGACATCTATTATAATTACCAGATATATGAAGTCTTGGAAGTAAGTCCCTGACCAAACATCTAAATTTTGTGACTATTTTTTTCTGTTTTTAATCTATCTCAAAACCCATTTTCATGGTGAAACCTTTACTATTTATTCCTGTCTTAAACATGGAATAATTTAAATGCAGTTCTCTGGCTCAAGTGATTCATGCAATTTTCAGTCCTTAGTCTAATTTTTGAAACTCTCAGTATCATGCAAGCCTCCAAATCTATTGTTACTCACTCTTTCTTATACCAAGTCATGATTTGCTGGACAAATCATGACTTTGCATTCATACAATTTGCTACACCAAATTCAAATAAACCCAACAATAGTTTAGCACATCATACAACAGCAGAAGGAGCAAAAGGCCCAAAGTGGCATGCAGAAAGAAAATAGTCATACAGTCTGACAATGCTGCAAAGCCACAATGTGTTTTCTGATCTGACTCTGATTGACTGTAACCTTGATTGGCTTTGATAATAGTCATTTACAAAATCCTCCCAACCCCAAGATAAAGCAGAATTCTGGGAACTGAAACCCAGATCTCTTAAAGTGCCCAAGGCTGAGAAACACTGAGCTAATACATACTTATTAGAGACCATCACTGTTTGATCAAACCAAACAGAATGGGAGAGCATTTTAGAGTCTACACAGCTCCACATAGAAAGAAAATCCAACTATTCAATAATGTGAAGGAGGCTTCAATAAGCAAACAACAGTATGCTAATTATTCAAACAGATGTAGGCAACTTGGGGTCCTTCAAATATTGCTAAACTACAATGCCAAAACCTTAACTATCCCAGTCAATAAGGAGAACCATGTTGGGGGCCATGGGTTCCCTCTGCCCCAATGTCCCCAATATTAAGCAAACTACAATTATTATCTCCACTAAAAAAAAGTTAGACTTTACTCCAGGGGACAAAATTACTAGGAATTCATGCAGTCACTCCCTTAAATAAGAGCAAAGCTGCTAAGAAGTTGCAAAGCAGCAAGATAAGCTGTTCCATTGCCTGAGCAGGACTTCCTGCTATTTTTCTTTTCCCACTTCAAGGAGTTTCCACAGCCTTCTCTAAAGCACTGAACAGTCAAGTAGATTAGCATATCCAAAGTCTTCAAAGATATAGATCCAAATAGTTGGTTTTCTACCAAAACTATTTTAGCAATTTCAGTGATAGCCAGTAGGAATGGATACATTATACAAGTGTGGAAACAATGGTCACTATTTGATTCTGAGGTCTAACTTTTAACTGCCTTCCCTTAACAAAGGGAATTGGAATTTGACAAGTTACTGAGAACTCAAGACAAATTAGCAGGAAGCTTGTACATTATGGAAGTTAGTTTAACAACTTTCTGAATAACCCATAACTACTAGGTTCACTCAAAACCCAGTTAAGCACATTTTGGCTTAGCACAATGTGAGAATACATAATGTAATTCTCAGAGTAAAGTTTACTAGTTCAGAAATACTACTAATCTTCACAAAATGTCATGCCTAAAAATTCCAATCAGAATAAGAAAGTATTGCAAAAATTTCAAATTACGAGCAATGTGCAAAGAGATCTTATGCTACATTTAAATGAACAAAAGAAGCAGTATTGAATGCTTCAGGAGTCTGAGTTCCACAACAGCTTTCCAAATTGGTTGACATTCATAGTGCAGGGTTTATAGGAACTCTTTAGTTTAATACATCTGGAGGAATTTAGGTTGGGGAAAAATTGGTTCATACAAAGTTTAATTCTATAGGATAATCTTGTTCAGTCAAACTATCTTGCTATAGCAATTTTTTTTGTCAAACAAAAGCAGCAATGTGAAAATAATACGGTCTACTCCAATGGTGGCGAACCTTTGGCACGCGTGCCAGAGCCCTCTCTGTGGGCACACACACCATTGCCCCAGCAGAGTTTGCGAGAGTAGCGAGCACGTGGCCTTTGGAAGTGACAGGGCAGGAAGTCAGCAAGCAAGCTCCGTTGATGCCCCGGAGATGGCGAGGGACTAGCCCCCGCCACCCTGGCCCCGGCCACACTCACCCAGTCTGCCATGACCACTGCAGCCATGCCCATCCAGTGGGCCATGCCCCCTCGCCCCCCTGAGGGCACCACAATGCTGATGCAGCCCTGGCACTTTGTGATAAATAATGGGTTTTGGGTTGCAGTTTGGGCATTCAGTGTCTAAAAGGTTCACCATCACTGTTCTACTCTGTTCATGTCACATAAGCGAAAAGGCAAGACAGCTAAAAAGATAAATTCAAAATATACAGACCAGCTTGTTCTGTGTCCAAAGTCACTGGAATGTTCCATCTTCGGGGAGAATCCATAGCTTGGAATTATTGGGATAAACCAACTTCAATTTTGAGTAGCAGAATTTCTTGAGAGCAACCACTGATCACAGAAAATGGAAATAAGCTACAAAAATTAATTCTATGATATAGTATAAGGAAGCATCATATATGCATAGATTAAAATCAAAAGTTTATCCCTTACTCTGTCTTCCATAGCAGGAAGAAGTGGGACAGAGGTTCTCAATAAGATACTACATGGTAAATAAGGTGTCAAAGACAGAAAAACAGAAATTGCTAGGTCCCTATCAAATGATAGGGACCTTTCCTGTATCTATCCCTCATACTCAAATGGTTTATGGGTTTCATCATGATTTGATTTTGACTTACTATAATGACTGAACTTTCCCATCATGCTTTATTGTAAGCCAGATCATTATGGCTTGTTCAACAAATTATATAAATGTAGCTAAGCCACAGAAATAGTCTGGACTTACAAATCATATTAACACATGTTCTATCTTGCTATGGTTTGTTTAATCATAATCCATAATGGCTGGGAGTTCACAATATACTAAGCTCAAACCACATTGTGAGTTAGGCATTTCCATGTGAGATCTTAGCACTAGTTCATATTAAGGTCACAATTTTTCCAATCTCATGATGTTTGTGCATCCTGGAGCCAAATCCATATATTGATGGCTCAACTGATGTTTTGCTGAAATGGCAGCATTTATCAGGAGTCTACCTTCTCACTAAAAAAAAAAACATATTTCCCTAGCTCCTCGCTCCCTTTCATCTATCACTTCCCCTTCTGTCTCCATAGAAGGAGACAGTGTTTCAGTGTTTCAAGCTATGTAGAACTGAAATCAGTTGCAGATCATTTTCAGACCAATTGGAATGGATGGGAAAATGAAAATAGAGCAATGACATATGTGTGTACAAGTATTCATGGCATGATCTATGAACTAGTTACGCCAAAACACAATTGGGTTCTTGGGACTTTAACAACTGCTGGCTGATATTTACCAACATTGTCAGATTGGAAAAAGCCATCTCTGCCAAATGATTGCCTAGAGCAGTGAAAATGACAGTCATATTACTCTATGAGCTAAACATGAGCAAGTTCAGGTCTTCAATTCTCCCAAGTCCAACTAAGATTAAGAGGAAAGGGCCAGAATTCTAAAGAAATTTTTGAATCATCAATCCCAGACATGCAAACATGTTGCTGATTCATAGCGCACAAATCTCATCACATACACATAGTTTCCTTGGGGCTATGTAGTTTCAGCATTAGTAGTCTGCATAAATCCTGTATCCAAAGAACTATGTATCTATTTCTTGATGGTGAAAGTAACAGATTCAAAATCACACATTCATATAAAACTAAAACATTTAAAATAGTCATTAAGATTAGATAATAGCCACCACATTGTCCGTATTACCTTAGTTTGCTATACCACAGAGATCTGAATAGTACTAAACCAAGTTTTCTTTTGGAAACCTTTTAAGTTTACACATTATCCTCAGTGCCAGAATAAGCATCTCTTGTCCATTAAGCTTCTCAGGGAATTTGGAGTATCCCAAGTAAGTCTGAAAAAGCACAATATCTTGTCTCAATATTACAACACAATTTGCCTTTTATCTGATTTGCCAAATACTGATGCTTCTTTTCATCCCTATATAGTTAAATATCCTTCTTGCCGCACCTTTCTCTCTCTCCTGAAACTTGGTTATTTAAAGTACATGTAGTTTGGACTTTGTCATATAATAATATGAATCAATTATAAGGGAAAGGTTATGGATAATAAAATTTTATCCCAACTTAAATGACCTTGTTATTCAAATAGAAACAATGGCCTAACACAACATTGTGGGGGTAGTTTAAGGCATCTGAAATCACAGGTGGTTTTATGTTAAACGACTAAGGGCTTATCCCAGTGGTTCTCAACCTTTTTAATGCCGTGACCCCCAACCGGTCGTAAGTCAAGGACTAAACTGGTCGTAAGTCGAGGACTAAACTGGTCGTAGCTCGAGGACTAAACCGATCGTAAGTTGAGGACTACCCAACCGGTCGTAAGTCAAGGACTTTCCCTGCCCGGGAGCGCCGCGCATGCGTGGTTCCGCCCCCTGCGCCGGCCGAGGCGTAGCTGGCAAGCGGCAGAGACTGAGCAGGCCGACCACCAGCTGGCCCAGCCCAAGGGAGGTAAGGCACCCGCCGGAAAAGGGGAAAAAAATGGCGGACAGCCTTGTTTGGCAACCCCCATGAAATGGTCGATCGACCCCAAATGGGGTCCCGACCCATAGGTTGAGAACCGCTGGCTTATCCTCAGAACCAAGACCTGATGCCACAGCTCAGATCTGCAAGTGGGAGAGAATTAAAAAGAGGAGACAGCTGTCCAGGTACGGTGCTAGTCCTTCACAGCAATAACTATAGACAAACCTCTCCATCTTCAGGGGGGGGGGCAGAGGGAGGAAAAAAAGACTGGCTTCATATATCACTTTTACTCACTGTTTGTTGAATAAATCACAATGGCTGGATTCTGCAAACATCCTGAGTTAGGGACAAAGATAGAGCAAGGTTTTCCAAGCTATCTTGGGCCTCATGCCTAAGTCACTTGAGAAATATCATATATCCTGGTGCTTATTCCAAACTGTATCTATCAACACTGAAATAGCACCATCTAAGATCCACGGCTCTTTGCAAAGAAGTGGGGCAGAAGGGAGAGAAAGAGAAAATAAAAGACAAATATGGAATCACCTCGGTTGTACATCCTTGGCCTTAGTTGCTGCAGGATTTGTTGACATCTGCTCAGCAGAAACAAAAGACCCCTAAGCCGCCTCCAGCATTGGAAAAACGCACCGCTTCCCCCCCCACACACACACACACACAACTCGCACCACGAAGGCTCGCGTTACCTTAAACTTCTCAGCCGATGGGCTAATTCCAGAGGGAGAAAACTCCCGAGCTGAAGGGGTCTTTCTTCGCGCTTGCCTCCCCTTTGCCCGCTTCCCTTCTTCGCCCTCTCCTCCTCCTCCTCCTCACTTACTCCCTCTCCTACTCATTCTGCCGACTTAAACCGAGACGCACACCTGACGGCCGCAGTCACAGCCGCTTGCTCCCGGGCCAAAGAGGTGGGCGGAGAGGCAGGCAGAGGCAAAGTTGCAACTGAATGAAGCATTCGAGGTGGCTTGAGCCAAACAAGTCCCAGCAACCCCTCGGCCTGCTCAGGAATGCGCGCGGCTGGATTCCATTCCCGGAGGGGAGAAACTCACCCCCGCGGGCGGGGATGGCGAATAAAAGCGGGAAAGAACTCGGAAGAGGCCCGTCGCCAGCTAAGCAGCCCAGGGACCCTCAACCTAACTCTCTTGGTCGCAAGGGGCAGCAGAAAGGGTGGCTAGGCGGAATTTTTATTGCAGATCCCAGCGCTTGTCACGCGTTCCTTGTATACACGTTAACCGCAACAGGTTAGCGGCGTCGGCGGTGTGGTCACTGCAAAAGCAAAGGAGCTTCGCGTAAGGGTTTGCGGCTGGGCTGGCAGCCGCGCTTAGTCACAATGCGATAGCTTGTGATTTAAGAGCCTTGTTTGATGGTTTCGTGGGTAGCCGGTTGTGCTTATGCACGGGAAATTTCCTTGCAGAGGTGCCTCAGAACTGTTCCTGGGGACAGAAGTCCAGGCACCTGCGGCGCAGCGCTAGGACTGCATTTCGCCGTCTGAAAAGCGACAAGCGATGGGGCAGAAACGAAGTTTGGTGATGCTGATAATACACCCGAGGGCTTGGGCCCCACCTCCTGTTTTGCATTTCTTTTTTTAAAAAAATGTTATCTGGCTGCGCCTCTACATAGTTAATGATGCTCCTTTTGATAGGTTTAGTTCTAAAATGTAACATATTTTTCTGGAGCAAAATAGTACTTTTGACAAGTAAACCATAGGGCTATTTAAAGCAGGACTAGGGTTCCAGAAGAATTAACATTATCATTATTTTTAAGTAAGTACAGTATACACAAACTAGGGTGAGCCAATAACTTCTGTGTAGGTTCATTGTGTGTACAAAGACCATGCCCAATTTAGATCAATGCCACCCTTGCATATTCCTCCAATGCCATTGGGTTTCAAAAGGTCAATGACAGGGATAGCTTTCAGTCGCAGGAGAAATGTTCCAGCATAAATAAGCAGCCTTTCTTAGAAGCTTTCATAAGAATATCTGCCCTTACTTTTTCCTTCCGGAAGCCAAACCACGGAAACACCTCCACTTCCTTCTATCCTTATCTGTTGAATGACAAAATTTTCCCACATGCTTGACAGTGGCCAGCATGTCTCCCTGCTTCTCTTAATGCAGAAAGTGAATACAACAATGTGAAGAGTCTGGGTGTGCCATAATTTTCTCCTTGTTTTTCCACTTCCACATATGGGTACCACTTGCAATGCAGAATGCAAAGCAACTACTGTATATTGCCAGTATATAGTCAGTAACAAACTGTATATAGTCAGTAACAAACGTAGTCCAGTGATCTGAAAGTACAGTAAATGCCATTAAACCTATTGGTGTTTAACTACACGTAAATTAACCAAAGATTTCCAGATAGCTTCTATTGAAATTGCCAGAGTGAATTAAGGTTCCAGTTTAAAATAAAGGTATATTGTTTGTTACTTCCCTCATTCCCGAACATTCTGGCACAAACTTGAGTCCAGCTTGAAAATCTTATCATCTGATTCATTTGCCTGATTAAGCATTTGGATAGGTAGTGTTCTTATTCCTGCTCTGGAAAAAGAAAACCTTGAACTGTACTCCCAAACAACGTCCTTCCTTTGATTATCGTGTTTGAGAAAAGAAATTGCAAAAGACAACCTGTGATCTTCCCTATGCAAAGCTTAAGTATTACAGTCAGACTTTGAACTATATGCCTGTGTAGTCCATGATAGTCTCTCTTCTGACTGGCAGAGGCTTTCTGGAATCTTCAGCAAAGAAAGATATTTCTCTGTTTTTAACTGGGATTAATTATGATTATCCTAGAATTGGCCATCTTGGAATTGAGCACAAAAGCAACCTAGTTTTTCTTACTACAGTCACCTCCAAAGCTGCATAACAGGAAAACAAAAGCAGACTAACCAAT